TAATAAACAAACGTCAAGCAGTTATGGAGAGCAGAAGAATAGTGGAATTGCATAACAAATACTTAGAACAAATAACTAAAAATAGACAAGAACAACGCCAAATTGTCTATTTTGGAGAAACTTGAAGACTGCAATGTTGACTATCATAACAACATGGAACCTAATATTTTTGAGGAATGCTAATTTATTGAAATAATATTACCTACTTCTTGTAAATATTTCAAAGGTGACCCGATTTCCCTCCCTCTCATCAACACTATGAAATGACTTTATTACGACAAATACGAAATGATAATCTTACTGTACTGAATGCCCAGCAGCTTCCACATTGTCCTTGATTTTTGACTCCCAAAACGGCTCCTTGATGTACCCAGTTGATGGCGGTTGGTGCTTCGAGACTCTCATTCAGTGCTTCTTGAAGAGGAGTAAATGAAATTTCGGGTTTAGTGGCGATGTTTTCGTTGAGCAAACTGATGAATTCTTCTTTGGTCAAATCTGAGAATTGGTTTACTGCCAAGAAGTAAGACTCTTCTCCATTTTCGTATTTCACGTTATGAGATTCGATTTCTCGAAGTTTTTCTTGGAAGATGTTGAAGCGGAGTTTTTCCTCTCTGAGGCTTCTATATGACTTGCCATGTGTGTTCTGCAAATATAATAATAATAATATTACTGTTTATTCGTGGAAGTCCAAAATTTTACAATAGTTTGAAGTACATAGATATATTGTGAGTCAATAAACAGAAAAAACTCAAGAAGCTTTAGTATATTTCATCAGTTTGGACTTCCATCATCTGATATAATGTTGATTGATTTGATAACCCTGAAAAAAAATCAAAAAGATTAACCGGAAAGAACAATTTTATTTAACAAAAACTGAAATTACAAAGAAATAATATACAACAACCAAACAAATAAAAATTGAAATATTAATAAAAGCTGAAAAAATTGAAGAGATTAATAACAAAAAATGAAAGAATAAAAATTTAAAGATTTTAAACCAAGTTATGTCACAACGTTTCGATTGTNATTATTAATATCATTTGTAATTTGCCAATTTACTATGTAATATGTGAATTTAATTGAATTGAATGTTACTTTTTAGTATATTTTCTTTAACATTTCCTGTAATTGGGTGTACGCCTGTTGGAAATAAAGTGCTATCTATCTAAATCCAACCTCATACACAAGTCAATTTAAATATTCTCGGGAAGTCAAGCGGCGTTGAAAGCTCTTAGCTCTCACCGAGCAACGTCTGAACTGAAGCAAATTGCAAAAAACGACTATCTCCTCGATAAGAAGACTTAACAGATTGTCTCTAGTCTGGATTCCTGGCCATACTGGCCTGGAAGGCAATGAAGCTGCGACTCCCTTGCAAAGGAAGGTGCTGCAAGCAGCTTCATCGGACCGAAACCTGTCATTGGTATCGCTTTAGGCTTTGCCAAACAAAGACTGAACACCTGGATGGCAAGAAGATTTATGGACTTCTGGCAGAGCCTTCCAGGATTGGCTTACTTCAAGGCGTTTATTCACCTTTCAAAGCTTGATACCAAACAGTTGTTAGACTACGATGTCTAAGAGGTCTTCTTACAGGTCACTGTCATTTGAATCATCATATGCAGACACTCGGACTTTCGGAAGACAGTGTATGTTGCCTCTGTTTGGAAAATGATGAATCAGCAGAGCGTATACTTTGTGCCTGCCCCGCTGGGGACCGAGTTTGATTTTCCTCTTGAAGATGATCATTTGGTGATCGAAACACGTGTTGGGGTGTTGGGAAAATACTCCAGTAACATTAAAAACTTTTTGTGAAGGTCATTTTGTGCAATTCAAGTTCATTAATATGCGGCTGATCATCTGAATTGAGTGAACAAGTCGCAACTTGTTTTTTCAAACTCAAACTCAATAAATTATCATTCAGCCAGAAAAGAATTTGTCTCAGATTCATCCCAGAAGTTTTGTAGACTTCATCTCAAGTTTCACCAGTGAAAATCATAGCCGTGTCATCAGTAACACACTATATGACCGTCAAATGTATTAATCTACGTTATTGAGTTTATGTGAGCACGAAAAAGGATCAGGCTAAGTACTGTTCCCTGAGGTATACCAACATTGATTTGTAATGTTGCACTGAGTTTGCTACCAATGTCAACAGTTTGTGTTCTTTCTTTTAAATGATATAATCTCGAGTGAGGTTATTTTCTTAACGAACAAGTGGAAAATTTAAACTACTTGAAATCTTCATCTCATAGCTTAGAATATTCACCTATTTGTTTGAACAATTTAGTAATGCCTTACCTTGAATTCTACCCACAATTCTTGGTCTGATGCTGCTGTGATAGCTACTACCAGAGAGGCTAAGATGGCAAAGAGTTTCATTCTGATTTTTCTGAAAATAAAAGCACAGTACAGAACTAACATTGTGTTGAGCTGAAAAAGTTGTATCAATTAGATAATTTGGATATGTTTTTTTTCTAAAACTACACCTTACGATTTAATTTCCACAAACTTTATTCTCAAAATATATCACGACATGTTTTGCTATCAGCTATAATATCCCAAGGACATTGATAACTAACGAAATAATTTTATCACAGTTTTCGAAACCACGTTATTTGGTAACATCCCGACGCCGAAGGCGGAGGGATGTTACCTAAAATAACGTGCTTGAGGAAGTTGTGATAAAATTATGAGTTATTTATCAATGTTCGAGGGATATTCGGTGAGAAAATTTTTTGCAATTCGAACAA